TACTTGACATATGCCAATGATTATTTTTATATCATCTGAACTAAATAGAACACGTATACTACATACATTTTTCAAATGGCTTTAATTACATTTGTAAAATAATAAATGCTGAAATAAAACCAGTGTCCCTGCCGCTCGACCCGAGCAAAATGAACCGTATTAACACAGGAAAAATTTGAATTCGAGCTGAGGTAGTATCGACTCTATATATATATATATATATATATACACACACACAACACACACACACATATATATATGTCTTAAACAAATACCGAATCTTTAAATTCTTCGTAAAGGCACTTCTCTTCCAAAAATGCACGTAATCTTTTTTTTTATAATATTAAGTGACGGGACGAACGAGACGTGTGCCTGATGGTAAGACACGCCTGTCCATAACAGTTGCAGTGCCACTCAGAGCTTTAAATCGCAAAGATCTGAAGGTCACTGCTACTACGCCCATCACCCTGAGACATAAGTTGACAAGTCCCATGTGTTTACGACCGCGGGAATCATTTTTATTAAGTTTAGTTACATTTGTCTTTGCCTACAAAATGGTTGAACATTTTTCACATTAAACTATTAAGAAATATGTGATGTAATATTTTAAAACTACTCCACAGATTGTGAAGAAGATTTGCTAACTCCAGAGATAAAATCTTGCCGCCAGCCCCTATGGGTATTACCTCTATACTCCATGCTCAGTTCATCGAAACAAGCAAAAGTGTTTTACCCACCGCCAGTGGGCGCAAGACTGTGCATTGTTAGCACTGATGTGGCGGAGACCTCACTTACTATACCCGCCATTAAATATGTAGTTGATACTGGAAAGAAGAAAATGAAGTAAGTAAAGAATGTACCGACCATGGCTGTAATGAGAAGAAAAAAGACCTGAGGGTTTTCTTTGAGACATTATAGTAAAGTTAGCCTGGATGCAATGATACTGTTTATGTGTAAGTGTGATAAAAAACATTGTATGTTTTCGACCTCGACTCCGAAAGCCCTCAGTCTTCCTCGGGCTTCTTATAGACTCTCGTTCGTAATTCCTTATTTACCGCCCTTATTATACATTGTCCTAATATGACACCGGCGTCTGTCTTATGGGACATATTCTACATATCTTTCCGGATGAATAGAGGAAATGAAAAGCCACGTACATTAGATTTGTAATGCCAAGTCATCTAATAACTTAACTAAGTATTTATCATTGATAAATATCGACTTTCTATTTGTATAAAGTTTCATGAGAAAATACCAGTTTTCAATAAACATAGGACATAGGGCTCGTGAAAATAAGCTCGTATAACCTAAGGCTTAATTTAAATTACTACGTGCGGAGGCTAAATAAATACGAAGTACCTCGTATATATAATTGTATGGGGTTCTTAAGAAAAAGTCCTACATTTAAGTCCTACATGTTATAAAGTTAAAATATAAAAACACTATTGAATGAAATTCCGTTCAAAAAAAAGTATGAAAGATTATTTTTTTGTTAGAAGGATGAACTAGCATTTCTTATAATATATTATTGTTGTTTTGTTTAATAAGTAAGTATGACTTATATGAGAAGTAAAAACACAAATAACGGGTGCGGCTTGGGCGAGTGTGTCGGGTCGAGAGCACGGCGGGTGTAATTCCGTTCGCTTCCGACCCGACCTACGCCCATCCTGAGCCGGTGCGGGGTGTGTTGTCGTTCATATAAATTCACGGACCCTGACCCGCTGTCAGTATGTTTCACGCTTTTGTTAATCATTACTTAATGATAATAATCTACTTAGATCTATTGTAAGAGCGTGCTCGCTAATAAACCGTTTCCAGTTTGGCGGGAGATATGTCTTCTGTAAAATGTATACTTTTTGAGCGACATCTCAAACAGCTACTGGTATCTATAGAGGTACCTGGCAGAGTGAAGAAATAGATTTCTCACAAATGGCGCTACGTTAAAAAAGTCGTCAAAAACCCAAAAACAAAAATCTGCAACAAGCACAGAAAAATTCGTAAGGTCCGCTGGTTCGTTCCGTGGCTTAGTTGGCATAGCGTTTAGCATAGGTTTGCTAGAAGACTTTGGCTCGAAGATTTTTTTCTAAGTATTCTTTGTATTAATAATTTAAAAAAAATGTGGTAATTATATCGGAAAGCTATCAGTTAATCAAATGTAGAGAGTGATTACCATCGTCATGAAAGTGCTTTTCCACCGGTGCGGCGAATCGAAACGAGACGAAGCGAGCCTACAATTGAAATCTCGCCTACTTCCATCTAAAATTGCCATTCCTAGCTATCACGAGTTTCCACTGAGGTTACGTATTGTAAAAGAAAAATATTTAAATACCATTACAGTAAATTACTTCGTTAATAAAATTGAAAAATTGAAAAAGCAATGTTTTTTAAATCTTAATTGTTACATATCTCAATCTCGCGACTAGTATTAATCGAGGCGTCGCCTGAAACTTGTTTCCATTGCAGAGTTAATTTTTAACTCTGTACAGACAGCAATACGATTCCATATTACACCAACAAATATTTGAATTCTCGTCTCGAACATCTTAAAACATTCGAAGAATAATTTGTCGTGTTTATTAAATAACAAGATTGCTTGTAGTAACTATTAAGGAATGCCGCCCGATTCCCGGTAGGATCATTTTCGGAATAGAACTTTTCTAAACAGATTCTGGTCTGGGTGTTTCGTAGTAGTGCCTTGGAGGGAATTCCGTTGTTCTGGTACTTGAGAGTTATTGTGGTTGATTGGTACATTATTATTCGTTCACTTTGAAGGGTGTACGACCATACAACAGGCGCAAGCGCCTGGCGCGTCGTGTGGACATCGCAGGCCAGCGCGGAGCAAAGAGCGGGTCGAGCTGGGCGTACTGGTCCGGGACATTCATACAGACTTTATAGTAGTGCAGTGTACCAACATGACTGTCCTCCACACCACCCACCTGACTTGTGTCGAAGACCTGTTGACGATTTGGTTCTGCAGATGAAGTGTATGGGCATTGATAAGGTAAGGATTCTTGTAAGGAAATTTAATGAATTGCAATTATTGGCCTTGGCCTTGACAAAATGAAGAAAAACATGCTTTAATAGAAATGAGATAGAACTACCTCTAGAGTAATAATAATTTTCTTGTACACCATTTGATGGAAAGCGACGATGAGGTCGACTAAGGAGATGCACACCTAAATTATGCCTATTCGTTCTCGTCTTGAAAAGGCCTAAGACCGATGAACCGACCGAGGTAAGGGTACTAGGAGTGTTAGAAATTGTAAAAAACTACCAGCCTGTATTTTAAAGATTGACAGGTGGACAGTGCGGAGACGGTGCGTCTTGGAAAAAAAAACCATACGCAACACATCCTTGAGTCAGTTTTTCAATACACTATTTTTTTCGGTGCTGAATTAGTGTTGAGGCATAGACTGATGATCTTATAGTTGTTCATTACCTCTAATCTCTATACACGTTAATCAAATATTAATATTCGGTTCTTATCTGTTTTTCCAGGTGGTAAACTTTCCGTTCCCCACGGCACCGGATCGTTTGCAGCTTCGTCTTGCCGAAAAGCGTCTCGAAATATTGGGTATTTTGACGAAACCCGAATGCAGCAGCAAAAGGAAAGACAATGAAGAGGTTAGTTCAAAAAAGTTTTAGTAGCAGTAGAGCTCCTTGTGAAAGAGTTGTCTAAGTTTAATAATAATAATAATAACGCACACACTCAACATAGCCCCGCACTAGGGAAACTCTGTGTCGCGAGTGCCATGGACACACGTAGACAGCCACAAATTACACCCAAACTCACAAGATAAATAAATACAATACCATACAAATATTTCTCCCGGTTCGGGAATCGAACCTGGGACCTCTAAGTGGCAGTCCGGCATGGTGACCGTTCGGCCACGGAGGCAGTTGAACTACTTTCGTTGAAGTACTACCACTTTACCTATTTCTGCCGTCAAGCAGTAACGTGAGCATTATTACGTTCCGGTTTTGAAGGGTAAGGGTGCGGGTCAAAATTACAGGCACATAGGACTTGTCAACTTATGTTTCAAGGTGACGGGCGCAGTGGCAGTGCCCCTCAGTTCTTTGCGATTTAAAGCTACCTACTGGCTTCTTTCACGTTTGGATTCCATTTTCCATTTTACATCAGGTGGAATGGAGTCATCTGCCTGTCATGTATAAAAAGCTTTGAGTGTCATTGCAACTGTCATGGATGGGTGTGGTGTGTAGGCTTACCACCAGGCGATTTATTTGTTTGTCCCGTCGCTTTATACAGTGGCGTAACGTGGGGGGTGCAGAGGGGGACATTTCCCTGGGCGGCCTAGTAATGGGGGCGGCGGGAACAGCGGCCGAGCTCAAACCATAGGCTGGTTGGTGGTGTGCATGTAAAAAAAATATCGAAATTTTTTTCGATGCGATATATCGAAATGTATAGATATTTTGCGATATATCGGTACAAAACATCGATATTTTGGATATATAAATAAATAATTTATATTACTATTATACTTACTTACTATTATAATTCTAAAAGACGAAGGAAATTGTATTAATACTGAATAAGTAAGACCACCAGTCTTGACACAATAATCAAATGTATTTCTTATTCTTATATTCTCATTGGCTAGCCGCACACATACAATATTATTGACAATCCAAGTTTATGTATGTTCCCAACACAGCAATATCGCCCGCATGCAATATAATAATAATTGTCAATGAGAATACCTATAACCACTAGTAGTGGTCCACTACGCTACACTAACGGATGACATGCGAATCAGCGTTCGAAATGCATTTCGTTTAAACAAGTACAATTTAGAATTGTATACTTTCTACTTTGTACGGATAAAATATATCGTTAGTGCTAAACGATACCGAATGATACGATAATATCGGATTGATTCGATATGTCAAGGGCATATGTCACGTATGACTGAGATGGTAAAGTCGTCAACCATAATGATGTCTAAAGCTACTGATATTATTAACTGGATTTTAGATCCGAAAAAATAGTTTCATTTCCAAAGTGTCACAAAAAATCACGAAAACACAAGACCTCGATTGCTCAAATCATTTTAATAAATAATGTTTCATTTGACGAAATATTACCAAATAATAATATTATCAAAAGATCAGTCAGTGGTTAGCATCACGAGTACAAATACTGGCACACGGGATGACATTAATATTGGCACTCCTAGCAACTGTATTAACGGCAAACTTGCAAAATATTTCCAAATGTATAGCGATTGGCACTTCAAGTACAATTATTGGCATATACCATGGTACAATCATGGACATTCTGTTTATTCAATAATTTTTAATATACACATAGATGTCTTTCTAAAATAGCGGCTCAAAAAAAAACTAATTTGAAAATGGTTTAACCGACCCAACCTTGTCACGTGGTTCATTTAACCAATGGAAAGCTCGCTGTGTTATTAACAACAATATATTGCATTTTGAGTGCAGTGTGTTTAATAAGTAAAACATTCAACTATTTTGGTTTAGGTGAGGTTGAAAAGAATAAGAAAAAGATTTTTATGAATTTTTATTAGTCTGTCTTATAAATAGTATCGTAGCAAAATGTAACGGAAATTGTAAACATTCCTTTTTTTAACGAATATAACTCGGAAATATAGCACTTCCAATTATAATTATAACAGATCAATCTGACCAATGATTGGCAAGCTAAATTTTTTTAAATTAATCGCCTCATTGGTGTACTCACTACACCAAGAAGCAGAAGAAAGAAGAAAGAAGTCAAGAACCAATACATAAGCGTAATTATTCTCTTTCACAGGTGCTAAAGGTAACAGCACTGGGTAAGGCAGTGTCTGCCTTCCCGCTGCTTCCACGCTACGGGAAAATGCTCGCGTTGAGTCATCAACAGAACCTCTTACCGTACACCATTGCTTTGGTCTCTGCACTCACTGTTCCTGAAGTAAGTATTTATTTTTTACAGTGTACCAAATAATGAAAGTGTTTTTTTTGGGGTGGTTGGGATCTACCTCCTAGCGGTTTACCCCGGGCAACGACACTACTTGTATCAATAACATCTAGTGACGGCAGAATGATCCCACTTTGCGAAGGTAGGTTCCGCAAGGGACCGACTGGCTTGCTACCACCGTCCCGTCGAAGCCAGATGCCAAGCAGTTTGCTGCGTTCCGTCTGCGTGCGGGAGTACCAGTGTCTTTGGGGAATTTGAGGGTGTCTGTTGCGTTGCCGTTGGCCGACTGCAGGCAGTAGGGGGCCTAAGTAGCGCACCAGCAACGTGCAAAAGGCTGCCCCCCACCTCGCGAAAAATCCCGAAATGCTTCACCGTGTCAGTGGACTGAATGGGAGGACCCGGGCGGCCCCTCAGTCTCCAAATGAGTTCTCCAAAGGTTGGCTAACTTGAGAGTTACTATTGGTCAACTGAATGGCGCCTGAACCATCCAATTTTACCCCATCAACACCACCAACCAAAAGTTATAAACAATGGCGAATAATAAGAATAAGGATAAACAACGGCGGCACTTTCTCCCGCTGAAAGTGCACCTCACTAACATCCGAGGCTTGCACTCGAACCTTGACCCGGTCCACTATCACCTGGAGACCGAGAAGCCGCACCTTTTCTTCTTAACGGAGACGCAGATAGCAACACCAACGCCCTATGGGGCGTGGCGTACCTCAACTACCCAGACTACTCGCTTGAACACATATTTTTGCAGCGAGCTGGAGTTTGTGTGTATGTCCGTGACGACATTTGCTGTCGGTGTCTCCGTTGCTTTGAAGATAACGGATTTTTACACTATATGGATTCTGGTGGGTACGGGAACGGAGAAGAGTTTCTATGCATGGGTATACAGACCGCACAGCGGTGATCAGAAGACAACTTGGCTCTTTGAACATCTGACCGAGATGGCAGATAAAGCCCAACAACGGTACCCCTCAGCGGAGCTTAATTTTCTCGGAGACTTTAATGCTCACCACAGCGAATGGCTGTTCCTCTTTGAGAAATCGGACCATCCTGGGAGAGAAGCGCGCAAGTTTGCGATATCGATAAATCTCACCCAGCTAGTAAATAAAGTAACGCGGGTACCGGATGTAGACGGACATAAGGCCAATTGCTTGGACCTGCTGCTGACAACAGATCCACTCAGATACTCGGTATCGATCTCGGCTCCGCTGGGAACGTCCGATCACTGTGTGGTGAAAACCGTGTCGACATACTCTCCCCCAGTTGATTATCCAAGGGGCACAAGGAGATTATGGCGATACGAGTCAGCAGACTGGGATGAGATGCGGCACTTCTTTGCGTCTTATCCTTGGCGGCAAGTCTGCTTTTCCTCGGGTGACCCCTCTTGCTATGCTGATGCGGTTATGGATGTGATCCGGCAGGGAATGGAGTACTTTATTCCATTCTCCGACATTCCGCTCGGTCACAAAACTCCGCAACAGAAAAAGCAAATCTATTTGCTTCAATATTTGCGAGCAATTCACGTCTAGCCGCAAGCTCGACACAACCAGCAAATTTACCTCGATGTGATACTTCAATGCCGGAGATTACAATCCATGCAAAAGAGGTTCGTAGAGCTCTGCGAAATCTAAACGTTAACAAAGCTAGTGGACCTGATGGTATACTGGCACGAGTACGGACGTTTTGTGCGCCTGAGCTGACTCCTGTGCTGACGCGTCTGTACTGCCTCTCTCTCAAAACGAGAATCGTTCCAGGATCGTGGAAACTTGCAAATGTGCAACCAGTCCCCTAAAAGGGCAGCCGTGCCGACCCGTGCGTGTAAGGTTATGGAAAAAGTTCTGAATAACAAGCTGCTATTATACCCTGAAACAAACGATCTACTCAGTGTTCGTCAATGTGGCTTTCGCCGGGGACGGTCAGCTGGGGATCTTCTCGTGTATGTTACGCACTGCTGGGGCGAAGCCATCGAGAAACACGGCGAGGCTCTGGCTGTGTCACTAGATATCTCGAAGGCCTTTGACAGGGTTTGGCACGCAAGTCTGCTGAGCAAGCTTCTCGCTTACGGCATCCCTGCTGACTTTTGTAGCTGGATATCAGATTTCCTTGATGAACGGTCAATCAGAGCAATCATTGAAGGCTGCTCATCTGATTTGGTGGCTATCAATGCCGAAGTTACTCAGGGGTCGGTTCTCTCTGCGACTCTTTTCCTGCTGCACATCAATGACCTGCTAGTCCCAGGTATTGTTGGGTATGCAGATGACAGCACTGTTACGGAGAGATATCTATCCAGCGCAAAGGACAGCAGGATAGTTATCCGTTCGTTAAGAGAGGCCATGGTGGAGCTGACGAACTTGACCTTAAGTGTTGTCTCTCAGTGGGGAGATGACAATCTGGTCGAGTTCAACGCCACCAAAACGTAGGCCTGTCTGTTTACTGCTAAAAGGAGTCACTTTGATGTGACCCCCACTTTTCGGGGTATATCTGTCTGTCTTACCGACAGCCTAGATCTCCTTGGCATAACATTGAGCGCAACCCTTAACTTTGGCTCTTATATTGAATGTAAGGCACAAATTGCAGCCAAAAAACTGGGTATCCTTAACAAGGTTAAGCGATATTCTACGCCTGGACAGCTCTTAACTATATACAAAGCACAAGTCCGATCTTGCATGGAGTACTGCAGTCACCTGTGGGATGGCTCAGCGAAGTATCAACTTGAGGCTCTTGATTCGATTGAGCGCAGAGCCAGAAGACTTATTGGCGACGTTAAGCTCGAATCTAAAGTTCACAGTTTGGCCCACCGGCGCAAAGTTACCCGTCTGTCGGTTTTTTACAGAATACATTTCGATGAGTGTGCCCATGAGCTCCATCAGCTCATCCCGTCGGCCCCCTTTTACCATCGGACATCCAGACGTACGGCGGGATATCATCCTTACTTGGTCGATATTCCCTACAGGCGTATTAAGCGCTTTTCATCATCTTTTATTATGCGCACAGCCCAGAAATGGTATTCCCTGCCTGCGTCTGTATTTCCGAATTCATACAACCCGGGTATCTTTAAGGTGCGACTGAATAGGCATTTTCTGGGCAAGCTCGTTCCATCGTAGATCCCATCTTTGCTCCAGAGCTAGGTAGTGGTCAAGAACAAGTCTATCTAATGAAAAAAAAGTGTACCATAGTTGAGGTACTATGATGTACAGGGCTCTTTCACTCGCTCAAGGTTACGCGATAAGTGCCTACCGATGAGTGCACCGATGTCGGCGCAAGCGCTCGTACTAGTCTTTCATTTATGAGCATTCGGCTCCGCACGACTGCACACACCGGGCAACGTTATTTTCACCTCTCTGCGCGCGTGTTTCGGTTCTTTTTTCCTCGCAGTAAGCGCCTGGTATCATTAGTCAGATGTAGTAGGCTATAGCGCAGGTATTTTCGATTTTGTATGAGCGTGATATAACGGCTACGTAGTAACAATTAAGTAATCTATTCTGTCACCATCAATACTATTTGAACGAACAAACTTACCACAAATATCTACATTCACAAAATATTTATCTATACAAATGTTATTATTGTCGACAAATATTGACAAGATTTTTATTAAAATGTTCAAATTTGTGAATGTTTAGGTAAAGTGGACTATTTCATTGTATACATTTATATATAACACTTTTTAATATTTTTTAATTATTTCGCTTTTTTACCTATTAATAGTTAATGTTTTAGGTAATGTGTAAATTTATGGCCGCCATTTTGAATTTTAAACAGTGGTAAACAGATGATAAGTCAAATTTCAAACCCTTCTGGTAGTTTTTCCTAATAATAAATAACATTGGGGTCAAGAGATTTCCGAATGTATATATTTTTAAATATTGAGTTTGTCCACTTAGTGAGAGAAAAATAATATCTGCTGATATGTTTTATTTTCTTAGGTAATGACGGGCAAGTCAGACTGTTGGCCCGCGACTGGCAACTTGCTACTACTGGGAGACCCGGGCGTACTTTTGCGAGCCGTCGGCGCGGCCGAGTTCGCACACGTCAAAGGCGAAGAAGAACTCTTCTGCGCTAAGTATGGATTGAGGGAGAAGGTAGGTTGGATTTGGTTCTTTTTAGTTAACGGCTTACTTTATGGACAGTCGACTACTTAACTATCAGATTCTTAAAAAAAATCTTGCGGAGCTCTTTATTTCCCAACTGTCTGCGTGGCCGAACGGTTACCATGCTGGACTGCCACCCAGAGGTTCCGGGTTCGATTCCCGAGTCGAGAGAAAAGTTTGTATGGCCTACATCTATTTCTCTCGTGAATTTTGGGTGTAACTTGTGGTTGTCTATGTGTGTCCATGGCACCGGCGATACAGGGTTTCCCTATTGCGGGGCTATGAGTGTGTGCGCGTTATTGATATTATTGTTATGTTATTATATCTAAACTCTGCAGACTGTTCACGCATTAATATTCTGTATTTTTTAAAATTATTTCGTGACCTTCATGAATTATTCAAGTCCTTCGCGGTCAGTGTTGATTTTAAACCACTGTTTCTACATAACATACGTCAAAATTTTGAAAGATGATTGGTAAAAATCTGTCAAAAGTTAGAATATTCAATAGCAACAATCGTTAATATACATAACACATTAACACTTATTATATATTATTCTGCGATAACAAAATTCAAAATCAAATACGAAACCTATATTTCTTTTGAAATAAACAATATTAAAAAAAAGTTTAAAGAAACATTTTTATTATTTATGTAATTATGACATTTTTTATGCGTAATACTCATTAAAGATTAAAAGATCTTTTTATCTGTACATACTTAATCTAGTTTCAAAAACACTATAAAACAGAGGCACTAAACATGTAAGGGAAACTTTTACATTAAAAAAAATAACATGATTATCGTGTCATTTGTAAATATCATTTGTCATCAATTCTCACGATGTTTACCTTTACTGTAATTTCTTATGTGAAGGAAAAGGTTTACTATCACTGCTTCAATGTTTGCAGTTTTTCTAATTCAAATAAAACGAAGTTTAGTAATTGCAGTCGATGAATGTTTTATCAACTATAGACTGACTATTTGTTACGCGTACGCAATAAACAGCCGAACTTGTTTCATTTCAATCCTCATTGACCCTTTGTTCATCCCACTGCTGGGCACGAGTCTCCTAAGAAAAGGGTCTAGACCGTAATCCGTCACGCCCAGTGCGGTTTGAGGACTTCATACTTTTCCAAGTGTTGTGACCTTTTTCTACGTGCCGGTTTCATTACTATTATAGTCTTACCAGTTATCGAAAACCATTGCTGTTAAACTGCCTCCGGGCCGGGAGAAATATTTGTATGGCCTACATTTATTTCTCTCGTGAGTTTGGGTGTAATTTATGGTTGTCTGTGTGTGTGTCCATGGCACCCGCGACACAGGGTTTCCCTAGTTCGGGGCTATGTTGAGTGTGTGCGTTATTATTCATCAATATATTATCATCCCCACCATCAACATCATCATCATGATCCCCATTATCATCGGCATCATTACCATTCACGTCACCATCACAATCATCGTCATCATCACAACAATCGTCATCATCGTCATCATTACCATCATCATCGTCACCACCGTCATCTCCATCACTATCACCATCTAATTGTTATATTTCAAGTAAATGTTTGGCTTAAAGTAACTATATGACTTAAAGTAGACACGAATGAGAGCGACAGTAATGATATTTGGATATCGAGTTCTTAGGTTTTCGCGATTGTTACACATAGGAAATGAAACTATTTTTCCGGATTTAAATCGCGTATATTTGTTTTTTCAAACAAACCGACGTTTCGGGCCCTTTACAGGTCCCATGGTCATGGTTGACTGAGGTGGTACAGTCTTCAACCAGTTATGTCTAATATTAATGCAAACCACTCTGTTTTTTCACTATAGTTACAATAGTTATTAAATAAATACCTTATTTTTAATTCTATAAAGAAAATATTCCAATTTACGCTACATTAAGTTTTACAAATTATTTTGTTGAATGAATTTTTATTAAGTTCAATTTATTATTAATTAATAATAGAAATTAGAATAAACTAAAACATTAATTAGTACTGCAGTCTTATGTCTGTTTAGGATTTTTCATTAGAGGAAATACTGGATCCCAAACCATCTTCCTTGATGAAATGAGGATGTTTTTTAATTTCAATGGCCTCTCGCAGCATCCTGGGTAGATAACGGACTTCTTTTGCAAGGACCTGGGGTTTGTCAAACTTCATTGAATGTGTAGGTTTATCCATGACATACTGGCAGACTGCAGACTTGTTTACGCGACGGTGTTTGACATCAGCTATGTGTTTTTGACGCGGGTACAAATACTTCGCTTCGTTTGTCCAATATAAGACAGACCGCACTCACAGTCAAGCTTGTAAACTCCTGCATCCTGTAAGGGGATGTTACATTTCACGGGTCTCAGGAACTGAGAAATCTTCCTCAGGGGCTTGAAATAGGTCTTGATAGATGCACGCCGAGGACTCTTCCGATCTTGTCTGTAACACCTCACACGTAAGGTAAAATGGCAGGTCTTCGCTCGACTGTTGGTAGTTTCACACGGGGCCTGCGGTATTGGCGTGGAATCTTCAACTTATTCGCATGTAGGACTTGCTTTATATGCTGAAGTTCCCCGCCAGATGATTACTGTCGCAGACACCATGTGCTCTCTGAAACAAACATTTGCCCACGGTAGCTAACTGGCTAGGATGGTGATGGGAATTACCATTCAGATACCTATCTGTATGGGTTTTCTTTCGATTTACAGTATGGCCTAAGGTGTCATTAGGATTTCTTTTAATTAAAACATCTAAGAAAGCTAAAGTACCACAATTCTCTTGTTCCATAGTAAATTGGATCTTTGTACTAAAAGAATTAAGATGGTCCAAGAAAGAAGGTGTGCTATCTTTAGTTATTTCGATACATTTTTAATTGCCAAGTGTGTAAAATATGCTGGACCGTTATAAAAATGCAGGATTTGAAAGTTCCCTTTGTCTAATTGATGTATAATAAAGTTTATAAAACTATTACTTAATACTTATTTAGATAGATAACTAGCGCTGAAATTGGTATTTAAGTCGATTTTTTGCTAAAACGGAGATGCACAGGTTACTTCACTGTGTACACTCCAATCTGACACACTCCAATGTGAGCCCCTTCTCACGTGTGCGAAGGGTGAAGGTGATGCGGTATGAACTTTTGTTATTAGGAGGCTTTTAGTTGAATTGACACTAATGATAAGAAAAATTAAAACACATTTTTTATTCCCAAGAAAACATGTTAGTTTATAATAAATTGGAAAGTTACGGTATGTATTCGACGTGTAAATTATTAGAGTTTATTCTCGATGGGAAATATTGCGATTACCACGAGTGTTTATTTTTTTTCTTCTTTTCTTAAAATTAGGGCGACGTGGAACCGGCTCCCATGAATGAGAAATTACTGTGACGTAGTAAAGTAGTCTTTTTATGTGTAACACAGACTAAGTAAGCAAGCAATCATATTTAATAAATAATACTTAGCATTCATGTAATAACATAAAAGTTATTGAAAAGGACACATTTTTACAGGTTATCTGAATACTTTGATATTGATTGGTCGTAGTTTCAAATTTAAAAAGATATAATAAATTCTGGATTGTTAATATAATTTAAACTCTACCCTGTTGACATAGCGTTGAAAGTTCAATGCCCCTTGTTGCAAGTTACGACATTTTGATATTATATTGAAATTTCAATAAATGTGCTGCCATCTAGCGGTTAATTACTGAAAGACGACGAATTGGAGTAATTAATTTAGTTCTCCAAAAAAGAGTTGACCATATTGCAGGGGTACAAGCTTTACTTTCGTTTATTATAACAAATAAATATTTCGATATACAGAAAATTGAAAATTTATTAAAATAAGACTTTCCCGATGTTATGAAATACCACTACAGGTAATATTTTTGGTGCGACTATTATTTTTGCACTCCAAAACAGCACAGTAAGGCATGTTTCTAGGCTTTTAGAGAATTTCCACGAAAGAATGACACAACCATACCATACACAGTCAAATGGCGGACTGAGCTCAAATAGGTCTTTCGAGACCTATAGTTGGCACGCGTCTGACTAAAAGTTGAAATTTGCGTACCATTAAGGAAACGTACAAATTTTCAGGGTTTCTTTTACTTAGAGACGAAAATAGATATTTCCACCAAAATTCTATAAATTGATGACAAATACCTAGAAATGTGCAGTTTTGCGAGATCATGTAAATAACACTATGTAGCTATTTAAATAACATTGTGACTGCCAAAAAAGGATAGTTTCAGGGATATAGCTCTGTTTTCTATATTTCTACATGCTACTTACTGCTCCATTAAACACAAACCAATACTGTGAAACCAGAAACAGAACCTTTTTGAAAAATTGTTACTTAACGTAATTTTTCATATTCTGTAAAAATATATATTATTTTTCGCGGTTCCTAATGGGACCCGTGAGTCGCATAAAAAAGATTAAGAGACCAATCTGTAGCGAATATATGGCGACTGAAAGGTTATATGGCCTTACAGTAGAAAAATTTACGGCCATACTTGCTGGCCTTGACTGGGATATATCCGAGCGATGACCTGCAGCGTCTTCATGACATTACAATTGTGTGTTATCGTTGTAGTGAAAATGGGGCACGTTTCGAGTTTGGTTAATTAGGTCGATTAATAAATAAAGACGATTGAAAATATAATGATTGGTTACTCGCTCTCGACCTTGTCGAGAGCACGTCCAGCTTGACACTTCTGATTTAATAATAATAATATAATTATTTACTCAGACAACACGATTTTTTTAAGGTCCAATAGTGTTAGTAACTAACAAATATAACTTAAAGACCAGGGGGTCTACTCTCGATCTCCGTCCGATATCTGTGCGAAACAATTACTGCCAAATAAGCAATACTTAACAAAATGACAAGACGCGTGATGCGAATGAAGCTTCATACTGGATACCTGTCTTTTAATTTTGTCGAATATTACTTATTTGACAGTAATTGTTTCGGACGGATGTCGGACGGAGATCGAGAGTAGCCGCCCCCCAGCTTAGTGGTAATTGTAATAAATAGTTGCACAAAAATTAAATTAGAAAAAGTGGCAGCCGATCTCTCACTCGCATCCAGACCCAATAGTCTCTTGTGAGATTATTTAATCAGGGTTGGTCATATCTGTCTAGTATGACGTGTAAAATGGTGTTGGGGCTTCCTTTCAGTCTGCTGAGCAATGACGCAGTCTTTTTGCGGATAATGGTATTAAAACCAATTTAAACTAATATTAGTTGCATTGTGATTTTCGTAGGTTAGCATTACAATAAGTAGTCAATTTTCTTAGGTTTTCGCGATTGTTGCGCATAGGAAATGAAATTTTTTTAACCGTCTTCCAAAAAAAGAAGGAGGTTCTCAATTCGACTATGTTTTTATTGCATGTTTGTTACGCGATAACTTTGTGAACCGATTTTGATGATTTTTTGTTTTTTGGAAAGAGGGTACCTCAGTAGTGGTTTTACCTCAGTAGTTACATTTGAAGGAAATATTCTACCTCTAAGGGTGGCAAACTAAGGGATGAATGACTTTTGAGTCAGCTTTTTAGTACTCTGCACTGATTTCAAATGTTATACAGAATTTACAATACTATGTACAGAATCGCGTATATTTGCTTTTTCAAACAAATAAAACTCACAGTCAGCCGTGACCATGGGAGCTATAGAGACCCGAAACGTTGGTTGTTTGAAAAAAAACAAATAAATATACGCTGTTAAGATCTGAAAAAATAGTGTCATTTACTTATAGTCACTTTTTATTTTTTATTATTATATTGTACTGCAAATAAAGTATTCCTAGTTCCGATTATCCCTAAAGAGATTTTTTTATATAAAAGTTTTTATGGATATTAATAAAAATAATAATAACAATGTGCCTGATAATCACGCCAATAACATGGTTGCAAACTAGGGAATTATCTTTTTTATGAGTGCTAGAGTAAGAAAACGTGCAACATAGAAGACCCAGAAAAGAACCAATTTAAAAAAGTTCAATGTCTCATTTCGAGTATGTTATCTAGGGCCTTCCCATCAGTGTGTAAGGGAGTCACCATACTTATTAACATGAAATCAGCTTGAGCCGATCAGAAAAATCTTTATATCCATGCAATAAAAAAACGGATAAAATAAGACTGACCTCCAAAGTTCGCTTATCTGCTTTCGCTGTGTTCGTTACATCTATTTGCCAAGTTTTATTGAAATCAGTTAACGGAAAGTGGGTGAAATCCAATAAACCTGATTCATCCCCTAATTTGCCATTCTTACATATAGACATAATATTTATTGGCACAACAAATTATTTAGGAAATGAAACTTTTTTGCGGATTTAAATCACATATATTTGTTTTTCAAACAAACCAAAGTTTCGGGCCCTTTACAGGTTCCATGGTCACGGTTGACTGGATTTAAATCCGGAAAAATAGATCGCGAAAAGCTAAGAACTCGATGTACAAGTCATTCTTTGACATATTATAATTACATTAAAATTAGAGTAAGGATACAAAGTACATAGTCTAGTATGGTCTGTGTTGCAGCGACATGCCAACGCGGGACTTAGCATATGCTGCAGTAACTTACCATAGCGCTGATTTTCAGTAAGCCTGTAAAACTCGACGCCAGCAATGAACGCGAAAAATTATAAATACTGTTTCATACACTCTTAGAGGTGAAATATTTTCTTCAAATTTGAACGGGACCACTACTGCGGAATCACCATTCCGACAAAAAAAGAATTATCGACATCGGTTCACACACTAGAGTAATCGCGTGACATACGCAGAAAAAAAATACAGTCGAATTCGACGTAGCGCGTTTCCTTATTTCTCGGATCGGCGACGCTAAACACACAACGGGTTTTCTCGCTTTTTAGTTTCGCGGTTTAATGCGAGTTTCGTGTTGTTAACTGCAGTGATACCCTAAGCCACTGGGCTACTGATGCCGTCATATTATGAATATATACATGATACAATTTCAAATTTGAGTTTTGATGTTGTTCTTTGTGAAAGTGTTTGTCCAGGGAAGTACTGCTATTTCGATATCTCCAACGAACATTACGGCAACATTATTTTTTTATCATTTTCTATTATTTTTGTGAACAGCCGTATTTATTTACTTATATTATGCTCCCCGAATTTTGAGAAAATAAATAACGGAACAAAAAACTAAATTCGAAAAAAGACAAATTAAAAACGAATATTGTGAAAAAACAAATTAGAAACAAAATAAACATAGTCCAAAAATTATGTTGGCGTAGTGTTCATTGGAGGTATTAAGGAGGTATTGGAGGGATTTCTGCAGTCAAACAGAAATGTAATCAATAAGTAGGTACTGTGTTCCGGTTTTGGAGGATTCAGTGGCAGTGCCCCTCCGATCGTTGCAATTCAAAGCTCGTGAGTGGCACTGCAACAGTCATGGATATTCGTGTCGCTTACCACCAGGCACATGTCTTATTCGTCCCATCACTTGATATCATAAAAAATAAATTTTGGAATTCTGGAAAATACTACTCTTTTTTTTAACAAATGAGCGAATTTTTTATGTTCTAATTTTATGATTCTAGTAATATGAAAACAGTTTTATGGGCTTCCATGATTATGCTTGTATCTTTATAAATAATAAGGGGTAGTCATAAAAGCTCTGAAAAGTAAATTATAAATGAGCGTTTTCAAATTATGAATATTACTGCCTTATTTACTAAGCTATCGAATACTTTTGTGCAGATAAAAATACGGAAACAACCAAATGAAATACTGAAACTAACAAAATATCTTGCTTACGTAGTACGACGTTGCCATGCCAACTTAATTTATATTTTATTAAATACTATTGTTAGCCATTTTTATCGTAAATCACTTTTATAAATTTAAAAGCGGCCATACACTGGTGCTTTAACCATTCCATCATACGGAAGTATTATTATCAATTCCAACATAGGACATACAAATACGTTAGTATTTCTTTCGGATATTTAATATATTATTATGATTTGGAAAAGTTTTTGTTTTGTTTGCTAAATATGATGACTTTTGTCGTTATATTCTGTGTTTATATCTATACTTAGTATTATAGTTAGTACGCTGTAATTTCATTTGTTTTTCCCACCCCTTTGTTATTACCCAATAATAAGATAATAATAATTCGAAGAATCATAATATCTCGGCTAACCGTGTAAGACAACAAATGGATTATTTCGGTAAGAACCACTGTTTACAAACGTTTTCTTTCAAACACTTTCAAAAGTTTGTGGTTCAAACGGAAACTCTTAGCTGAAAAGATGAAATTTTGATGCTGATGTTCTGTCTTTCACTTTATGCCCCGCAGCCAGTAGGTGGTAATGAATGTGATTGCTTGAGATGTTATTTTCATTTTCAATCATCATCATTATCAACACATTGTACGTCCCATTGATGGGCACTGTTCTGCTTTAAGTAAACATATTAGGCCATAGGTTCCCAAAGTCTTTCGCTCATCGTCCACTTAGGTAAGATAAAAAAAATTTGAATGCCCACCACCACCAAAGATTTTATATTGACTTAAAAAATGATAAGGAAAGGAAATATATATACATACAGACACGCACACGCACACGCGCGCTCGCACGCACGTACGCACACGCACAACCACGCGCACGCGCACGCGCACTCGCACAAGCACACGCACACGCACACGCACACGCACACGCACACGCACACGCACATGCACACGCACACGCACACGCACACGTACACGCACAGACATATACACAGACACACACACGGAAACACAAACAGACACACACACAGATACGCACACACACGCACACAGGCATGCACACGCACGCACGCCCGCTCCCGCTCCCGCTCCCGCACCCGCACACGCACACGCACCCGAACATGTAGTGTAGTTTGTACATATACATCATACAGGTGTCTTCAGCGCTCGTTGGGGGGTACAGACAGAGAGAGTATAGAGACTACTTTGGGAAACTGTGTATCAGGCCATAGTCCGCCACGTGACTCAATGCACTTTTAGGACTTCGCACATTTTCCAAGCTTTGAGAACCTTCTTCGACATGCAGGGTTCAGCACGATACCAAGTGATGGGACGAACGTGTCAACAAAAACGTCATGTTAAAAATAAGCAGTATTTTTTTTCCATTTTAGGCAATCAAAGAAATCCGGAAGCTTCGTAAGCAACTGAGTTCTGAAATCAGTCTGAGCGTGGCGGGTGTAGACGTTACCATCGACCCGGAGATGAAGCCTCCTGATGACAACCAAGCAAGGTTGTTGCGGCAATTGTTGCTTAGTGGACTGGGAGACCAAGTCGGCAGGAAGATTGGTCTTAATGAAGTCAAAGAGGGTAAATAATATCACCAATATTCTATTAGCACTGTGGGCGCCGCATGAGGGAGTCCTGAGCTCGATTCCTGGTAGGACAGTGTTTCTTAGGGCGCGTTTCCATTATGTCGTAACGTTTTATTTATCGTTGGATGACTGTCGCGTCTATCCTGTTCCCATATCACGACTGTCTGACGTGAATGTGTCGTGGACGCTTATTTTATCGTTCAACGATGTCGTGTCTAGCTGTTCCCACTAGAATATCATGACGACAATTTATCGGTTCACGGCAGCATTTATCGTCGGACGACTGTCGTTCTAGCCCTGCCTATAATCACGACAGGCTGCCGTCGTAACGTCAAAAAAGTTGTGAACGACAGTTAATCGTCTTGTTCTATGTGTGAACAACTTCATTTAAATATACAAGGCACGACACTTTAAACTGAACGAATATCTGTCGTCAGGACAGTGACATAATGGGAACGTGCCCTTAGTCTGTGGTCCATAGACCCGTAATGAGGCCGTGTAATTAATGCTAGGGGTCCATGGCGAGCCTACCTAACATAACGCATTAATATAAAAATTGGTATACAATATGTTGTGAGTAAATAAGTACTGTGTACTTTGACGGCATCCATTCTTGGGGCCAAGCTGAGTCTATTAGCATTAAAAAAATAGTCAGTTTTATTCAATTTCTATGAAAAACATTTTATGAAATTTGACCAACTTCTGCTGTCCCGATTTTTTTCGTCCCATACAATGAAATGATTCCTGCATGAAACTGAGTCGATGAGCACTAACAAAGAGTCAGTTAATTTTATTCATTTTTCTGGAAAAACACGCTTGAGCAAAAAATTGACTATGCCAAAATTGTTTTCACAAAAAAAGACCTAATGGTTCCTAAGGCAGTTGCCTTGTATCTTCTATGGTTTCGGATTTTCCCACTGTCCCATTAAAAAAACTGTCTTATATATCTACATATATATTATTACATATAATATTTTTCGTAAATTTATTATGTTTATGTACATGTCAAGGAATAAAAGGTGTTGTTTGTGATGTTAGTAATATATTCTTGCGAGGTTGTTAATATTTTATAATTAGTATATTAAAACAACTTTAATTATCATAGACCGTAGACCTTATTATAATAAAGTTATTCTGTCCACAGGGGAAGACAAGCGTAAATTCAAATACGCCTATCACTGCGGTGAACTGGACGAACCAGTCCATCTCCACTCTGAATCGATTCTTCGAAAGACTATACCCGAATGGGTGATATACCAGGAACTCTATGAGACTGGTGCTGAAGATAGAAGAAAGATGGTCATGAGAAACGTGACAGCCATTGAGCCGGAATGGTTGCCTGTTTATGTGCCTCACTTGTGTAATTTAGGTAAGATACATTCGCAATTGATAATTTGTTGTATTATTCTAACATAACGTAAACACGTGTTCGTTTACAGGTGAACCTCTATCAGATCCCGAACCGCGCTACGATGAGAAGTCGGGGAGAGTGAAGTGCCATTTCAAAGGCACCTTCGGCAAGGCCGGCTGGGAGCTGCCTACCGTCGAAATTGACTTTCCCGACAAGATTGAACGATATCGGTACGTTGTTTGACTGGGATGTTCTTTCATACCTTAAATAATAATCAATGGTAGGAAAAAGGTGTTTCACATATATAGATACATGTATAGACAAGGAGACACATGGAGTTGGCAAAACCACCAAATATTAATTAATTACTTTTTTCGCATCCGGATTTCCGGAAATGGTTTTACTGCATCGTAGGACAAAACTACTGGCCTAGGAAGTCGAAGTTCCCCTGAGGAGAATGAGTAAGAAACTCTAGGGGTTGCACTTTTAAATCAAGACTTGTATACATTTATTATTCACCATATTTAGTTCAAATATGATAGATCAAGGTAACTTAGTAGAAAAGATCAAGGCAACCTAGGAGAAAGAACTAAATAAGTCACTCACTACCATGAATTTTTGAGTAAAATGTAAATAAAAATGAAGTGTGTTATAAAAAAATGACCTATTTTTGTGACTCTTTGTATCGTGGTAGATTGCGTAGTAGGGTCGATATTCTATGTTTAGAACTTCTATGGAAAAATTAATTTTATTTAATTTTGTTTCACTTCATCTCCAGATGAATACTACTCCTATTAAGACTCCAGTCTTAATTTATTTGCTAGTATCCAGGAGTATTCCAAAAGCTGGTTCTGACTTTATTCTCGAAGATATCCAACCCAATGCATGAAACATCTGATTTCCTTAGAATTATTTCAGGTTTAATCTAGGATATCAGTAAATTAGAATTTATGTCACAGAATGTTACGCACTTATATGTATATCTATACATATAAGTTATTTGTATTATAGTTATATGTGTATCTATACTTATATGTACATTTCTATACTTCGTACTTTTTTTCAGTAATAATTATTAGAATTGATGATAATGTCGCTAATATATAAAAGATGCACCATTTTTTTAAATAATGGTATTTCTTTGCACAGGTGGTTTGCAAAATTCGTTCTAGAAGGTTCAGTGTTCCCGAAATTGCGTAAATACACAAGCTCTTTGCTCTCACCTCCATCTACAATGGTCAAAAGCTGGGCGAAGTTACAACCCAGAATAGAAGTACTGCTCAAAGCTTTTATTATGAAAAGGATTGGCACTAGAGATGATTTGAAGAACATTTGGCAAGAGCAGTCTAATTGTAAGTATTGTAAAAACTGACAACTTAGTTTAACTTACATTACTTTCTCACACAAAAAAAAGCCTTTTGAATACATGTACAGACCTTTAACAATAAGAGAAATTCATAAAATCTTTTAACTCGATCTGTACGTCTGTCGAGTGGTAGCCACAGTGAGACAAAACCTTAATTTACCGTAGTCGACATCAAAAAGGGCCTACACAATATCATTCATTCCATTCGTTCACAAAAATTGTAAATGACTACGAAATTCTTGCGCCCGATCGAAAAGGAATTAGAATAAGGTCATCGACGAAACTTCGTTTAAATTTCGTTCGATAACTAAATTTCGTTTTCGAGAAAGAGGGTAGACGTCCAGTCGGACCGAAGGGATTTTTCTTTATGTAAAGCGGTCCACTGAAAACAAGTGCTGTGGCTCAGCCGCAGTATTTACTGAGTTGAGCCCTTTGTGCAGTGCAATACACTTTAAGCATAAAATCATAATATTGTACTTGTAACATGTATTTGAATATATTTATGTTAGTTCTCTCTTTGCATCACTAATAATCCCTTTTGCAGCTTTTTCTCAAAATGCTGTTTTTATACAGTATATTTGTTTGACAGTGTAGCGTTGAGCACGGAACTCTTCTAGGTGAGGGACAGGTCATACTCCGCCACACTGGCCCGCTGCTGCCTGGAAACTGAACATATTTTCCATGGGCTGTGGGACAACCCTCTGGGACATTTAAGTTTCATAATGAAATTTAAATGTCCAAGAGGGTTCATTTTACGTTAACATATAGCGAAGACATAAAACAAAATTAGTAAAACTAGTAGATAAATCTTGAAAATTCCTTTATTCCTAGTATTTCAATGTGGAACAATTGTAACCTTAACATGTCATAATTGTTCCCATTAGCTCCATGTAATTTTAAACTATTTTTAGAACAGACTTTTTAATTTTTTCATGAGTTTCTTCCTCGTGAGTCAAGTTCATTAAACCCATTACCAAGATAGACAAATATTTTAAAGATTCTAAAAATGCAGAACATGCGATAACAAAACACCGTTTTATTTTTACTTCTTAATTCATATAAAAATACCATCGACTCACGGCTGACAAATTTGAACCTTTGAAACGCTACCTGTGATAATGAAAATTTATACATCTCTATAGCTACGAGAAGACTAACAGAGATATGCTATAAAGAGTAGAGTGAAAAACCGAAAATACCAAGATACTATCACGAACCAATAAATAACTCAAGAGTACTGCTAATTGCAATACAAGACAGCGTATTCGGGTATTTAGTACCTATAAGATGTCGTGACGAGTATCAAATTTCTATTTTTGTAACTAATTTGTAAAATATTGACAAGCTGCAATGCAGTTTTACATTGAAAAGTTACTGTAATTTCTAGTGGTAACAAACAAATCAAATAGATGTTTGATGTAAAGAGTTCGTCCAGGGTAGTACTGCCACATTACCTATTTCTGCTGCCAAGCAGTAATGTCAGCGTTACTGTGATCCGGTTTTGATGGGTAATGGGTGCTGGTGTAATTTCAGGCACATGGGACTAGTCAACTTATGTCTCAGGGTGACGGGCGCAGTGATAGTGCCCCTTAGATCTTTGCAATTTAAAGCTCTCAGTGGCACTGAAACTGGAAAGGCGTAATAGCTTACCATCAGGCGCACGACTTGTTCGTCCTGCCACTTGATGTTGCAAAGAAAAAAAAAAAATGTTAATTTATAAATTAGTTTGTAACACACAATGCCCAATGCATATTTGTTAAAGTTCAGAAAATAATTTTACCTCGTGATCAATATTTGAATAATATTTCAAGGAAAATAACTATAGTATAAAATAATATTAGAGTATATTTCATATTAAAGAGGAATAATTGATATCCACGGCCATTTACATAATATAAACTACCTCCGGGCTAATGATCAGCAGCACCTAGATATAAGACAGAATTTTAGCCTTTTTCAGAGCTACGATTTGTAGTGTGGAAATTTGCAGTTCTTTTGAGTTGTTGGTCCATGGTACCATACCGATGTTATGTGGATTATTTAATGTATGGACAGCCAAAGTTTTTGACATAGAGCATTTTGGCGATCATAGCTTTAAAGAGAATACAGATACGAGTACCATTGTATTACTACCTAATATTTCTGTTGATATTGGTACATATATTTTAATTTTTTTTTGTTTCAGATTTATTAGACGAATATTTAAAATGGCTGCCGGAGTCTGCGCACAACGAAGCTACATTATATTGGCCACCTTTGTAATAAAAATATTAATATTTGATTGCAAATATAAATATGTAAATATATTTAAAAAAACATTTGTTTTCATTGGCGGTACACAAATACCGGTAATTTTTCGGAACACTAGTAAAGTCACCAAAGTAATGTATTCTTTTTTTTTTTTAAATTCTGGTCAGCTATTTACATTTCTATTTTAGGTTCATTTGAAAGTAAAAAAAATGCCGATTGTCATTTTTTCATTAATTTGTGTCGAGTCGTTTGAGATTGATTTTGCGTTCTTGTAAATTTCGTAAACTTTAGTTGAAAACATTATTATTAAAATTTGATTATATAGTGTTCAACTGCTACAATTATTAAATTTTTAGCTGTTTGTGCTTTGCTACAAAACCTAAAAATAAATGCATTTTACTTTCGATTTTTACAATAAAGGTTGCTTTTTGTGATGTATTATTTGTGACAGTGACGATGACGTGACGAACAAGTCGTGCGTCTGGTGGTAAGCGATACGTCTGTCCATTGCAGTTGCAGTATCACTCAGAGCTTTAAATCACAAAAAGATCTGAGGAGCTTTGTCACTGCGCCCGTCGCCCTGGGATATAAATTGCATAGATATAGGAAAAGAAAATTATTGACAAGTCCTGTTATTAATTTCACCACCATTAAACACCAATATCGTTGTACTATCTTACACTATATTTATTAAAAGAATAAAGTTTATGACGGTTGAAACCCAATATAAAGATATGTAACAAACACATAAAGAAATTCACAAGATTTGTTTACTTGATCTGTTGTTCAGTTGGTTGTGAGCAGTGGCCCCGGCATGGCAACGTATACTGGTTGGAGTCCAATAGTGATGCAACGGAAGTGTTATAACAAAAACAATAACGGAAACAGATCTCGAAAACAAATCTTAGCGGAAAAGGAAACGGGCGTCCGTTTCCTTTTCCGGTTGCGGAAGTAGAAGTGTATTTTTATTTTTTATTTATTAAAATTTTTTTTTACAAAAAGACAACTTATAAATTAAAACTTAGCGGTACAACAAAAATCTGAATAGGTTTATCCGTATACCGCGATTCATTGACGTGAGCTCGTAACAAAACTGGCTAACCCGTTTGCTTACGTACGCTTACCCACTACCATAAAAACAACCACTACTCGAGTAAAAGACCTGTGAACGAAAATAATAAGTTATAGCGAAACAGATAAATACCCTCGGAGTGGTGTTACTATAAAAACAGTCACTCACGTATACAGGACGTTCAGAGTTTATTTAATAAATATGATTTAAGATTTGTTTTTATGCTGTTACTTGTTGTACTATACTATTTACTATACTATAAAGATCAAAACGAAATAATTCCAAACAATAGGTAGTTGTTTAGTTAGTTTAGTAGTTTATATTTCATAACTGCATTTAACTGCCAAAAAACGAGCGTGCTTATCGGTGAGCATTAGGTACGTTGAAATCCATCGTGAACGTTATACTTGTCGTGACGAACAAGTCGTGCGTCTGGTGATAAGCGATACGTCTGTCTGACTGACTGCAGTCCAACTGATTGTTGTTGCAGTACCACTCGGAGCTTTAAATCACAAACACCTGAGGGGCGCTGCTACTGCGCCTGTCACCTTGGCATATGAGTTGATAACTCCAATTCACCAGCACTCAAAATTGGAACACAGTGAAGCTAACATTACCGTTTGGCGGCAGAAATAGGTAAGGTAGGTAGTACTTTCCTGGACGAACTCTTTCTCTGCTGCTCTACTGCTGCTAACTTACAATAAAAGTATTAATTTTCAATGGGTACGGGTAACATCTATGGTGTGGTAAAACAGTAAAATAAGGCATTTTTCTGCAATTTTAGAGAATTTGAAAGAATTACTAAACCATACCATACAATGCGAAAACGGCGGACTTTGCTCATGTAGGTCTTTCGAGACCTAATGTTGGCACGCGTTGGACGCTAACTAACCACTTACTTTTTATAGTTCTGTGCAACAGATTACACCAACGACCCCATCTAATGTCAACGCTGCGCTATCGTTTCAAGGTCTACAAACAGTTTGGTAACTGTAGGATAGCTCTGACGGACTTACAACAGATTATATTCAATTAATTACACGCAAAAAAGTATTGAGAAGGTCGGAGTTGTCTTTACTAATATAAAAAAAAACTTGTTCTTCAAAATTAATAAAAATTACTTCTAGTTCAATGAACGAAATGAAATATCACAGAGTAAGCTAATGTACAATAAGCGGTCTTATTTCTAAGTAACAATTCCTTCCACGCAACCGTATATCTAATTATTTATTTATTGAGCATTGGCTATATATGGCTATATATTTTAAAAGATAACAAATGATTGAGAAACTCCAAACTTAATATACTTAAGGTGAAGTGAGACTCCAAATAGTGCCTCCGTGGCCCAACGATTGCCATACTGGACTGTCACATACAGGTCCCGGGTCCGATTCCCGAGCCGGGAGAAATATTTGTACGGCCTTCATTTATTTCTCTCGTGAGTTTGGGTGTAATTTGTGTTGGTCTATGTGTGTGGTCATGGCACCCGTGATACAGGGTTTCCCTAGTGCAGGGATATGAGTGTGTGCGTTATTTATTAAAATTTATTTAAATAGATGTTTCGACATAGTTCGACTACACGGAAAATCGTTTTTTCGACATCGAAAAATACGAATTCAACAATTGATAATGAAAATTGAAGATATCAGTAGTGAACTTTGAGGTCTGTAACGCAACTGACTAAACTTTGTTGGATAAAAAAAATCATGAAGTTTTCACAAAATCTTCATTTTTCAGTAAGTGATTTAGGCGCCGCGCAAACGTGTATCGTGTGTTGGATACAAGCAACTGTCAACTAGAAGTGAATATTCTATTGTTTATTATTATTACTATTTTTATTATTTATTACTATTTCGCTAACTAACTAACTAAAAACTAATTTTTGTAAAAACTGGAACAACAAAACCCGCCATTTAAAAAAATACTTCTAAGAACGAGATCAATTGTTCTGTAACAATTTTCTTCACGGAAATGTTTTTGTTTTGTTGTGGGAATTCATAGAGCATTCACGCGTTTACTTCTTATTCCTGGATTTCGTATAAATTGATTGATGCGCTCGGGGCGTCTTCTGCACGTGTCAAGCTTTCTACTCTTTTTAGTCGTAATACATCAACGTGAACGTTTCGACGTGGAAGGTTTCAAACCATATTCGAAGGTATAATTTGTAATTTGTACTCGTACTATAACTGCATTACACATTTTTGCTAAATTAGTTCAAGAGACGAATTTTGTGACATCAATTTTTTATTACTATATTTTATTTTATTTTTTTATGATATCAAACGATGGTGGTAAGCGACACGCCTATCCATAACAATTGCATTGCCACTCAGAGCTTTCATTCACAAAAAGATCTGAGGAGTATTGTCACTGCGCCTGTCGCCCTGGGATATAAATTGCATAGATATAGGAAAAGAAAATTATTGACAAGTCCTGTTATTAATTTCACCACTATTAAACACCAATATCGTTGTACTTTCTCGTTACCTGCCTCCGTGGCCAAACGGTTACCATGCCGGACTGCCATGCATAGGTCCCAGGTTCGATCCCCGGGTCGGGAGAAATATTTGTATGGCCTACATTTATTTCTCTCGTGAGTTTGGGTGTAATTTGTGGTTGTCTACGTGTGTGTCCATGGCACCCGCGACACAGAGTTTCCCTAGTGCGGGGCTATGTTGAGTGTGTACGTTGAGTGTGTACGTTATTATCTTACACTACATTTATTAAAAGAATAAAGTTTATGACGGTTGAAACCCAATATAAAGATATGTAACAAACACATAAAGAAATTCACAAGATTTGTTTACTTGATCTGTTGTTTACTTGTTCAGTTGATTGTGAGCAGTGGCCCCGGCATGGCAACGTATACTGGTTGGAGTCCAATAGTGATGCAATGGAAGTGTTATAACAAAAACAGTAAGGGAAACAGATCTCGAAAACAAATCTTAGCGGAAAAGGAAACGGAAGCGATTGCGGAAGTAGAAGTGTACTATACTATAAAGATCAAAACGAAATAATTCCAAACAGTAGGTAGTTGTTTTTTATTTCATTACTGCATTTAACTGCCAAAAAACGGGCGTGCTTATCGGTGAGCAATAGGTACGTTGAAATTCATCGTGAACGTTATAAACTTCTGATCAAGTTCCGTTATAAAAGTTGCGGAAGCAGAAACGGAAACAGATGTGAAAAAGCGTGCGCGGACGAAGCAGAGGTCTGTTGCGTCACTAGAGTCCAGTTTGAAAGATTTTTTTCTTTGTGTTCGATATTTGTATCAACAAACAGTAATAACAAAAAAGTGGAGTATTTTCACAAAAAATATATGTATATATACGAAAATCACGGTAGTAAAATATCGTTCAGCAAATAAATAATGCAATTAAGTTTATGTTAGAAGAATAATTCTGTAGATAATTTTATGATTTTCTGCGAGTTGATTAACTTGTCGAAAGCCCAAATATTTAAGTATACGCTTGAGGCCTATGAATACGTAATTCCCTTTCCCATTTTATCGCCTGGAATATTCCCCTTTTTATTTCAAACACTCATTGTATTGTTATACATATTAAATATATGCTATACGTAACACGTGAAAGCAATTAATGTAATCACAGACAAACTTAGACAATTGTTCATCTGCTTCTTGACCTTTGATACACAACATATGCGTCTTTCGATAAAACAGAAATCCAACAGCGAGTGCGTTCCTCGTTATGAAGTTAGTTTAGTTTTTTAGTTAGTTTTTCGTTTTTTAGATCGAACCCGGGACCTCGGAGATTGCGACACACTCGACTACTGAGGCCGTCAATGAAAAAAAATCAAAAACAACACATGTTAGTGAAGTTTGTGTTAAATTAAATAGAATACTTGGTAGTTTTTCTTTTAACATATGTATTAGATAAGAAAATATCGCTCCTTTAGAACGATGCCACACTGGCGCCAG